CCGGCTGGAAGGGGCAGGGCGCACAGGAGGCCGAGGCTGCACCATGCACACGAAGTGCCACCCTGACGACAGGAACAGCTGCTGGGCCAGGACAGTCCCCTCGCCTCAGACACTCAGGAGGCGGGGTCTGGAGGCCGCGAGGACGAATGGGGTGTTGGGGGAGGGCCGACACATCTGTGTTCCACCCCCAGGAGCGCCCCCAGGTTTTCAGGGTAAAGACCAGAGAAACAGTCCCCCAGCCTCCCCCAGGGAGGGAGCAGCTTCCTGCAGTGCGTCCAGCGCGCCTGCCCTGTGCCAGCCGCCCGCCCCGCTGAGCAGCCTGTGGGTTCCATGGGGGGCCTCGGGCTACGGTCCTGCGTTCCTTACCCCACGGCTGTTCTCACAAAACTCCGCCTCTGGAGGGGACATGAGCCAGCTGTGTCCAAGGCCCCATCGTCGCTCCTGAGCCCCATCAGCCGCAGCCAGTTTGCAGCCGAGGCAACAGGCCCAGCGAGGCCACACCGCTGGGACCCGTGCAGCTGGCTGGGCCCCTTCCACTGCACCGCATTCTGTTTTGACGGGCCCTCCGGGCTCAGAGAACCTTCCAGAAGACACAGCCCCGCCAACATCGTGGCGTGACCTCACAAGAGACCCGGAGCCAGAAGCACCAGCTGTCATCCTGAGGCGCCGTCTCACGCTGCACGCCGGCTGCCCGAAGCCGCTCCGTCGTGGAGCCATTTGTCACCAGCAACAGAGGAGTAACACACGGGCCGTCTTTTAAAAAATAGTAATTTTTTAAAAATGTTTTAATTGATTTCAAAGAGGGAGAGGGAGAGAGAGAAACATCAATGATGGGAGAGAATCATGGATTGGCTGCCTCCTGCACGCCCCCTACTGGGGATGGAGCCCGCAACCTGGGCCTGTGCCCTGACCGGGAATCGAACCGGACCTCGTGGTTCATGGGTCCATGCTCAACCACTGAGCCACGCTTTGTTGGTGGATCATTCTGCCCGGGGCAGCCCCCACCCGCTCCACGCTCGGCGACAGGTTTCCATGGCGGCGAAGACTTCCCTGGCGTGGCACTGAGCTCTGATGGAGCTCTGATGGCAGAGGCCGGAGGCTGGGAAGGAAGAACAAGTCGCCTGTCCCAGAGCCCAGGGCCAGGGTCCACCCCTCCCAGGTGCCCGGGGTCTCGAAGGGTCAGGAAGTGCTTCTGCAGGATCATCCTGCCTGCCTGCCTGCCTGTCCTTGGCAGCGGCGACATGCAGGCCTCTCGGGAATGGCCCCAGGTCCCGTCCCTGTGCCGTGTGGAGCCCTGAGGACCCAGCAGGGAGGGGACACAGGAAGGACCTGAGGAGGCAGCAGCAGCAGCAGGAAGTGACGCTGTGACAGGAAAAGGAAGCTCGTTGGTCAAAGACAGGGCGTCCCCAAAAATGTGCACACACTGTGACAGCAGGGGACTCAGTTTTGAAAATGAGGTCGACTTTCATGGACGCCGCCAGTACAGTTACTCAGCGTGTATGCGTACATTCTTGGGGACACCCTGAATTTCTGAGCTCTCGGTCCTCACGGTGCTCCGTGCGTGGACGCCCGTGTGCGTGGACCAGAGGCTCTCAGATATGGGGCTCCCCTCCTGGACCCCCACACTCAGCCAGGACCGGGCTGCGGGTTTCCAGGAGGATCCTGTCCGCTGGGCCCTCCCCGCCGCCTTGCACGTCCCCACCAGGAATGAGCGTCCAGGCGCGGCCCTCGGGCTCACTGCAGGGGTGACCCAGGCAGCGCTTCTTGGTGGCCCTGGCTGCCCGGGGTGACTCCCTGGCTCGGGCAGATGAGGGAGGAGAGGCAGAGGCGGCCACACGGGCTGCAGACCCAGCACCAAAAGGTGGCTCACGCCGCTGGGGAACGGGGGTCTAACTTCGTCCCCTTTTAACTAGAGGAGAATGTAGCTGGTGGCCTCTGAGTCGTGCCGCACGGTTCTTAATACTTGTTTTGGGTCTAGCACAAGCGAGAGATTTTTTAAAGACTTTTAAATGAAGGTTGCTTTACAGAGAGCAAAATTCACTGCTGTTCGCGAACACTTCTGCTGCTCTTGACAAATACGGGGAGTCCCATAGGCGCCACCACGGTCACCCTCCAAAAACATTCCCCACGTGTCACGTGGCCAGCCTCTCTCCCCCCCAGCCCCCCAGCCCTGGCAAACCGCTTATCTGTCTCTGTCTGTCTCTGTCGTTTGGCTTTTTCTAGGATGTCCCACAGCGAAAGCATTTGGGGTCACCCATGTGTGATGCTGTGTGTGGGTATCCCTTTTCCTGGCTGTATAGTATTCCACCCTGTGGTTGTGCCGGAGCCTGCTCTCCATTCCTCTGCCGAAGCACATGTGGATGATCAGGCTGTTTCCAGTTTGGGGCGATACATAAATAAACCCGCTGCAAGCATCTGTGTACAGGGCTCTGTGTTGACACACTTTTCAGTTCAGTTGGGAAAACTCCTATTGATAGGACTGCAGGTCACATGGTAAGTCCGTTGAACTTCGTAAGAAATTACTCAAATGTTTCCAAGATGCTGGGACCACCTTCCAGCACCCGGGGAGGGTCACTCGGCGCCTCCAACCCGCCCCCTGACCATTAATGGCGCGGGGATGCTTTCCATGCGCTTGTCTGTCATGTGTGTCTCTGGTGAAGGATCTGCGCACAGTCTGGCTTTTTTCATGGACGGTTTCTCCAGGCGGCTCCTCGCTCCTTTTGAACGGGCCTTCATGGCATCTCCCAGGACAGCCCGTCGCGGGGCGCCTTGGGGTTAATGTCCCTCTCGCTTCTGCGGCAGCTTCACAGGCCCCGTCGGGGTAGGAGCCCGGAGAGGAGGCTCCCCTTGCCCGCTTTTCCGCTCCAGTTCGGAGCCTGGGAAGCAGCGCCAGCACGCTCTCGGCCTGCGGAGTGGGAGGATTCCGCTTCTCAGGCCCTCGCTCTTTACCGCCTGTTGCTGCCCCCTCCCCGCCCTCTCTGTTGGAGCTGTCACTGTCGCCTCATGGCTGCTTGGGAGAAAGGACTGGCGAAGGGTCCCGTGGGTGTCAGCCCTGAGAGCACCTGGGTGCTCCTGGGGAGAAGAACCATGGAGGCCGGTCATTTGGGCAGAAATCTTTCCACTCCTACTGAGTTAGGCCCGAGGGCCTGGAAGCACGCAGGGACCGGGCGATGCCCACACCGGCCAGTTCCGTGTTGGCAGCTCCCTCTCTCAGGCGTCCTGCGCGCCCCCCGGATACTCGATGGAGCTGGTGGTTGGTAAAGGGGTGGCTCCAGAAAGAAACACGGGGCCCCAGGGGTCGCAGGCACCGTTAGGCCACCATCATCTACAGCGGGACACCCTCACGTGGGCGCCGCTGCCCGTCCCCCCTTTAGGGCGCAGGACGGGGTGGTTCCGGCCCAGGAAACAGCTGAGGCCCCTGGTTCCAGGACCCAAACTTTCCAGTTAGACATTTGGGGGGCAGGCGGGTTTCCCTCCCCCTCCACCAGGACGGAGGAACGGGCCGCCTACAGCCCGGGCAGTGGACGAGGGGGTAGCCCTGGGGCAGGCGCTGGCTTACATTGAGTATAATGATATAAATATTAACAAAATGAAGTACTTTTATCATTCTAAGAATGATTTTTATCTAGAAATTCTGCATTTTAACTTAATGTCAGTATAGGTTAAGTGCATACTTTTAAATCTATCCAAGATAATGCTCATGACACCATCCCAACCAATGTGATAGCTGACTGTATTTCCATGTTTTCTAATACTGCCTCTTATTTCACAAGTTGCCTGTCCCTTATAATTCTATTTTGACAAAAAATGTTTTGATTAATGGAAGGGTTCTGGTACATTATAATATTTCTCCCCT